TATGTTTCCATTTATCTAGGTCTTCTTTGATTTCTCTCATCAATGTTCTGTAGTTTTCAGCATAAAAATATTAGATATATTTTGTCTTATTTATCACTAAGTATTTCATGTTCTTGGTGCTCTTATAAAAGGCACACGTTTTCAATTTCAATTTCCAATTGTTCATTACTAGCATATAGAAAAGCAAGTGATTTCTGTATAACCCATATCCTGCAACCATGCTAAAATCACTTGTTAGATCTAGTAGCTTTATTTTTTGTGTAGAATCTATGAATTTTCTACTAAAATTATATGATCTTATTTCTTCTTTCCTAACTGGAATGTACTTAAATTATTTTTCTTGCCATATTATGCTGGCTAGGATCTACAGCACATTGCTGATTAGAAATAGTAATAGTGAGCTATCTTATCCTTGCTCCCAATCTTAGGATAGATACAGAAAGACTGTATTTTACCACAAAGTATAAGTTAGGTATGATGTTAGCTGAAGGGTTTTGTAGATGCCCTTTATCAAGCTGAGAAAGTTCCCATCTACTCCTGCTTTGTTGAGAGTTTTCATCATGAACAGCTGATGAATTTTGTTGACTGCTTTTCTTTCCTGCATCTACTGAGATCGTTTTTTTTAATATGTTGATGTGATAGATTTTATATCATAATGTTGCATTCAAAATCTATCTTGCATTCCTGAAAGCTCCACTCAGTCCCTTCTTATTTATTGCTGGATTTAATTTCCTAATACTTTGTTAAGGATTTCTGTGTTTATGTTTATAATGGACATTGGTCTATAGTTTTCTTGTAAATTTTTAGGAAGACTTGTATAGAATTGATATTTCTCCTTTAAATGTTTGGTAGATATTACCAGTAAAACCTTTTGGACCTAGAGTTTTCTTTGTGAGATTTTTAACTACAGATTCAATTTTTTAACAGTTACAGGACGATTTAAGTTATCTATTTCTTTCTCAGTAAGTAGTTTGTGTCTTTCAAAGCATTTGCTCATTTCATCTCAGTTATCAAACTTAATGGAATAAAGCTATTCATAACATTCTCTTATTATCGTTTAATGTCTACAGGATCTATAGGGATATCCCCTCTTTCTTTTTTTTTTTTTAAGATTTTATTTATTTGGCAGAGAGAGAGACAGTGAGAGAGGGAACACAAGCAGGGGGAGTGGGAGAGGGAGAAGCAGGCTTCCCGCTGAGCAGGGAGCCCGATGCGGGGCTCGATCCCAGGACCCTGGGATCATGACCTGAGCCAAAGGCAGACGCTAAACTACTGAGCCACCCAGGCACCCCTCCCCTCTTTCATTCTTCATATTACTAATTTGTTTTTTCTTTTTCTCTTGGTCAATTTGCATAAAGTTTTATCAATTTTATTGGTCTTCTCAAAACACTAGCATTTTATCTCATTGATTTTTTCTCTATTGGTTTTGTTTTCAATTATATTGATTTCTGCTCTTTATTATTTCCTTCCTTCTGTTTATGTTAGGTTTAATTTATTCTTCTTTTTCTATTTCTTACAAGCTTAGATATTGATTTGTAACCTTTCTTTCTCATATAAGCATTTAATTGTATAAATTTCCCTGTAAGCACTGACTTAGCCACATTTCACAAATTTTGATATGTTGTATTTTCATTTTGATTTACTTGAAAATATTTTCTAAGTTCTCTTGTGATTTATTCTTTGACACATAGGTTATTTAGAAGTGTTTTGCTTAATTACCAAATATTTGGGGATTTTCCAGATATGTTTGTATTAATGATTTCTAATTTATTCTTCCTGTGGGTCAAAAAACATACACTGTACCATTTCAACCTTTTAAATCTGTTTAGTTTTATTTTATGGCCCAGAATACTGTCTATCTTCATGAATATCTCATGTGTACCTGAATGAAATGTACATTCTGTAAGCAGTGAGTGGAATGTTTTGTAAATGTCAATTAGCTCAAGTTGGTTATGTTATTCAGGTCTTCTGACTCTCTGGATTTAATTTGCTAACATTTTGTCTATTTTATCAATCACTGAGAGAGAAGATTGAAATCTTCATGCATGCATGCAGGCATCCTTGCATACAGGCATCCTTGCATACAAACATTTACAAATATATATAATGTGACATTCAAAATTAAGTATAGATTATACTTTTAGCTTTTCCCTACTTATTAAAAGTATTGCATGTTCACTGAAAAGAAATTTTAAAATTCAATAAAGTACTCATCCCACCACCTAAGGTGATTTTACTCTTTACTCTTATTTGAATGAAATGATATCTAGAGTGTCAAAGTACCAGACATGGTCCTGGCCCTATCCACCATCTCAGGAATGCTTGGCTTCCTGCCCACTCCTCAGAGGCCATTAGACATTCATTTATCATAGTTCTACTAAACTGAAATAGAATCTTTTCTACTTCCTGGCTTTCTGATACTATATAGATCTACAGATCTGATATATATAGATCTCTAAAGACTTTTCCAAGCTTAAGAATCTTAAGAATTCTTTTTCTTCCTATAAGATGCCAGGGTAATCTGAGTATAGCTCCTATATGATAAGACATTCTGCTATCTAATATTATATTTTATTACTATTAGAAATAATAAACAATATTAAAGATAGGATCAATATAAGGCTAAAAGCAAATATTAAATATTTAAGTATAATACCAATATATGTAAGATTAATTCAAGTCCAAAGAGAAAAGGAATATCTGCAATTCATACATTTGAAAATATTTACTGAGTGTGCGTTAAGCACTGTTCCTCCTGCTGAGAAAAAAGTAGTGAAGAAAGTAGACAGTCCCCGTGACCACTCTACAGGGTGGAGGAGATACACACACAATCACCATAAATATATAACATGCTAGAAGGTGAAAACTGTAACGAAGAAACATAAAGCATAATAAGGGAGATGGGTAGGCAGGGAGTGTGGTTAATACTTACATGGTCAGGAAAGTCCCCATTAATAAGATGACAGGAGAGAAGAAATCATATGGATATTCAGAAGGGGAAATACTCCAGACTGAGGAATAACAAACACTTCTCGAGGCAGGAATGGTTGTTGGAAGGTTTGAGGAACTATAAAGAGGCATATGGTCTGTGATTTTGAAAGGGATAATAAATTAGAAAGTGACATATTGTTTTCAGCTAGCTAGTTCCATGTGGAGTCACCTATTCAAAGTACAGCTTAAAAACCTAAAAGTTCATGATTTTTCATTTAAATGAGGTAATTAGGCTAGGAAAATTCCCACACTTCCTAAAGGAAGTATTTTTCAAAATCCTTTTTTTTTTAAAGATTTTATTTATTTGAGAGAGAGAGAATGAGAGAGAGAGCACATGAGAGGGGGGAGGGTCAGAGGGAGAAGCAGGCTCCCCGCTGAGCAGGGAGCCCGATGCGGGACTCGATCCAGGGACTCCAGGATCATGACCTGAGCCGAAGGCAGTCACCCAACCAACTGAGCCACCCAGGTGCCCCAAAATCCTTCTAAAATGAATACTAATTTGTCACAAAAACCACTACAATCCTGTGTTACAGAAGTGCATGTTATATTCTGCATTTATCTCTAAAGAGAAAAACAAAGGCAAAGACAGAGAGATATGGAAATAATAAGAAATAATAAGTACCTATTCTTTCAGAGGGCACTAATAAAAACAAAGAAAAGCAGAGCCCTTTTCTCACTCAGGAAAATAACTTACCTCAGAAAAAAAATGAAAACATTAGCCTACAATTACTATTTAAAAGCAAATAAATACAACTTTTAAAAAGTGAATTTTCATATTTCATATAGGATTAAGTCAAGCAACCACTATGAATTAATAAAATAAGTATACATCCTTAACTTTTCCATTTAATCAAGTAACCCTACAAAATATTTTTAAATTCCCTTGGCCAGGGAAAACATGAATTTGGATTTATCATTTTAACCAACTACAATAAAATTTAAAAGATGAGCATCATCCGGGATAAACTTTACAGCCCTTGACTTCACCAGGAATTACATCATGTAATCCAAAATACGAATTAAAAAGCCATTAAGAAATTTAGACCTTTTTATATGTCACATTTTCTCCTTTGACTTCTTGCTTGGGTTTATAAATCTCAAAGGCTGTGCGGTAGTTTACCATCTTGGTACATATTACAAAGATCCAAGCTTTTAATTTTCCAAACACGAATCTAAAAATTATAAAATCATAACTAAATCTTACCTCAGTTTAAGGAATTGTCTTATTTTCTGTTGAGATGATGTCTGGCTAAAATTGAAAAGCCTGACAATACTAAATGTTGCTGGGGCTGCAGAATAAGCAGAACTCTCCTATGCACTGCTACTGGGAAAGCAAACAGTACACACTTACACCTTGTAGCTTAACCACCGCAAACCCTTGCAAGATACCCACATCTTCAGATTTACTCATCACAATCCCCACTATGGAAAGTGGGGTCAACAGTAATCTCTCAAGGTCTCCTTACTGACACTTTCATCACTATCACTCCCAATACTTTAAAATGTGATAGTCAACCTCTGGCCATTTGGAGCAAACCAAATCCTACAGAGTACAAGACAGCACCGAACATAATAACATAATATCTAAATCTAAAATATTTATAAAACTGACAAATATTGCCATAAAAGGAACTACAGAAATAGACCTAGGCAATTTCATGTAGTTTTAGTAGTTAATGTTTACCTCGATGTGACAAAAGTAATACAAAAACATACACAGAGAGTCAACAAGTCAACAATGAGATTGAGAAAAGGACTGACCACATAGGAACTTTTACAAACAACATTTAAATCTGCTCCAGACGCCTACTGTGAAAAAGATAATCTCAACAGATGAACAAACTTAAGAAGATGGTGATATTTATTATAGCAATTAGACTATGCTACCTTTAACACATCATCTGTTTTACATTTTCTTCTAATTATATTAGTTGATATTTTAAGTCAGTGAACGTAACATAAAAGAAAACAAAGAAAAAGAAAAAAAGAGAGAAAAAGAAAAAACTTACCGGGATTGAAAATTCCTCAGCCAAATACTTCAAGGAGGCCGCTTCTCTTGCCAAGAACTTGTTTCTTTCTCTCATGTTGCCCTGAAGTTGTGTATCAAACTCCTTTCTTACCACAGAAGCAACAGAGTCAATAATTACAAGTTTAACTCCCTTTGAAATAATTTCTTCTTCCAAAGATTCAATCCTGTAAAAGCAGAATTTGCAAAATAGTAGATAAATTTAAGATATAATATAAAACAGGGTATTGCAAAGATTAACCAACTTAAAAACAATGACAACAAATTGTTCTTTCCTAAGTTACAGTAATGACTGCAAGTATTCAATAATCATAACTTATTTCCAGCTCTTCTATACATATAGCACTCTTTTGAAAATGCACCAACATGTTTTCATTTAGTTTCATTCTCTGGCTCTCCTACGATACTACTAATTTTAGGATAAAACTGCTTATCATAGCCCATCTCCAAAATGGCCCCCATTTACTCCCACCTTGTATTGATAGACAGCCTTGTGCAGTCCCCTCCCACATTTACCAGGGTTGGTCTACATGACCAACTGCATATGACAAAATGATGGTATATCACTTCTAAGGGTAAGTTATAAAAGACTACAGATGCCATCTTGGGCTCTCTCTCACATGCCCACTCTCTCAGATCCCTCTCTCTGGGGGAGACAGGTTGACATGTTGTTAACAGCCCTATGGAGAGGCCCACATGGTAAGGAACAAAGGCCTCTAGCTAACAGCCAGCAAGGAAGGGCGGCCTTCCAGCAACTACACAAGTAACCTTGGAATTCTCCAAGATTCTCCAGTCCTCTTTGAGCCTTGAGATGACCACAGCCCTGGCCAACAGCTTGACTGCAACCTCTCCTGAAAACCCAAGCCAGAAACACAGCTAAACCACTCCCAGATATCTAAGCCTCTGCTACTACGTGAGATAATACATGTTTGCTGTTTTACGCTGCTGAATTTGGGGGATAACCTGTCAATGGAACAATAGATAATTAATATACCACTTAAATAATTAATTAAATCTAAAACATTTCACTCATTCAATTTGTTTTCATTTTTAAAGAAATACTTCATCCAATAGACTGTAGCAAATAAAGAACACTGAAATAATTACTTCCCATAACCCTAATACATATGTAGAGACTTTTTTTTCACTCAACTGAGAACATAAAAAACAAAAAATAAATCTTCAAAGTATTTCTAACATACCAAAATCTAAAGCAGCATACCTTTGCAGAACTTCATCACAGCTGAGTTCCCGATAAAGATGAACCTTACTGCTTGTCAAAAGTAATTTTTCTTCAGTGTTAAAATATCTGGGAAAACGAGATTCTGCTATCTCAACCAGTCTGTAGGGAAGAAAAATAGCACAAGTGAAAATAGGTAATGATATTTAAGGCCATAATGCTGAACTTCTGAATTTTACTTAGGAAATTCATAAGCCACAAGTAACACCAGAACAAAAATAGAACAGGTATAAGCAAAACAAGCCTTCCTTTATAAGCACTAAAAGAGGTTAGCAGTCACAGCATGAGACCAGCAAGGGCTTTCAGATCTCATCTAAGGTTAAGTAAGTAACAATGTCTCTGAAGTTTATCTTCGTAGGAATAGATATATCTTTTAATAAGTGATAATTTGGCTAGCAGCTATAAGATTTGTTTAGTAAATAAGAAAAATTATTTCATCATCATGAATGAAAGAAATATATTTGAACAAATATATATTATCATTCTAACAAATATCAGTAAGTCTCCATGTCTCAGAACAGAAAAATATGCTTTCTCAATTAAAAATATATACAAAATAAATATATCTAATAGCTTCTTGGTAAACAGGAAATTATTTTCTAAACAAATGGATATTGTCTAATATTCCCTTAGTAGAGAAAAAAGGATTTTCTACATTATGAACTCAAAGCCAGATCTAATGCATGGGGTAGGCCAAGTGTACGAGAGTGACAAGGCCAAACAAATGCAAATATCATTAATCGCTTAAGACATGGAGCTCAGTACCAGGAAATTCAAATATTTCTGGTTAAAAATATAAAAGTGTAAATCTTTGAGTATAACCGTCTCCTATTTAAAATAATACTTTATCAGCCTGATACTTAACCATCCAAAGATGACTGCCAGGAAGGACTATAAACACAAAAATCACCCTACACTTTATGTTCCATTTAAAGACGCCAAAGTACAAAGAACAGTGTTTTCATTTCTAGATAGTTAATGAGTCCCAAGAAGAGGCTAGAACTTTAAAGAGATAAAATAAATTCCTCACATATATTATAATCAGAATGAAAAAGAAAAATCTAAAATAGAGAAAGGGAGAAAACTGGTCAATAATATTTTTTAAAGTATATTTTGAACAATTTAAAAAAAGGCATCATTAGGTTGAACAGGAAAAGGAAAAATTACTTTACTAAAAGATGTGTAAAGACTGAGAACAAAATGGATCAAATGAGCATTCAGGGAAGTGCATGAGAGAGACAGGGTGGAATAAAGGAGGAAATGAGGTAAGCGATGAAAGCAGGAAAAAATGAGACAACTGGCACAGACAGGACAGGCATACCTAAGGATTTGAGGAAAATGTGTAAATTTCTTGATTAGGGCAACTATTTGCCGAGTTTGGGGCTGGTCAGAGAAGTCAGCTAAAAGCTCTGACACTTGGGACCCACTGATTTTTAATAAGATAGGTATGGCAACATCTGCCAGAAACATGAAGTTTTTCAAAATTGGATGCCTGGTTGATTAGGTACTGAATACTCATCTCAATCAGTGAGTAGCTAACTCATCAGCAACAACAAATGACAGACAATAATAATTTTCTGCCTTCAACCCTTGGCTGAATTTCAACTGATGCCTCGAGTGGTAAAAAGCTCTGGAACTTATTACTGCTCTCTCATTCAATTAAGGCCCCTCAGAAGGAAGGTGGTCAATGTATGGACACAAAGTGACTTTATCCACAGTTACCATGTGAAATAACTGTATCAAATGATTATTTACATACCAGTATGCTATAATTTTCTATAATCAGTTTCTCCTAGTATTTTTATTTTAGAAAAGATATCTAAAAATATATATAAATCAAAAACCAAATACAAATGTAGTATCTATATGCCTCACATTAATTATAGCAATTTCTTGTGACAATCTTCATCACAAAGAGCTTTCCTGGCTAGAGTAACAACAGAAAAGATCCTATTTTTTGCTCCCAGACATTAATTACATAAAATTTGAAAGCAATGCCATCTAGTGGATGTCTTTTTCATAAAAAGTATTCTTTTCACGTATGCACTTAAGTTTCATTCATTCAAAACATATTTATTGAGGGGCGCTTGGGTGGCTCAGTTGGTTAGGCATCCAATTCTTGGTTTTGGCTCAGGTCACGATCTCATGGTTGTGGGATCAAGCCCCGTGTCAGGCTCTGTGCTCAGTGTGGAGTCTGCTTCAGATTCTCTCTCCCTCTCCCTCTCACTCACTCTCTCTCTCTCTCGAATAAATAAATACTTTTTTTAAAAAGCATATTTACTTAAGACCTATATGCCAGGCACCATTCTAGGTGCTAAGGATGGGACAATGGACAACAACAACAAAAACAAAAAAAACTTCCCTCATGGAACTTACAGTTTACTGAGAGAGACAAATACATATTATATACATCAGGTAATAAGTGCTCTAAAGAAAAATAAACCAGAATGAGGGAACAGATTGTGAAAGATGGAAGCAAGTACTATTTTATGTAAAGTGGTCTGGGAAAGCCTCTTTAATAAGGTGAATTTGAACAATGGTTTAAGGGAGATGAGAAAATGAACAATTTGATATCCAGTGGAAGAGTGCATAGGAAAAGAGGATTATATATAACAAGTGCCTAGGGTGATCGAGGAATAACAAACAAGGAGGCTAACGTAGCTGGAACACAGGAAACAAGGAGAATAAAAGGAAATAAGGTCAGGGCGCCTGGGTGGCTCAGTTGGTTAAGCCTCTGCCTGCAGCTGAGGTCATGATCCCAGTGTCCTGGGATCAAGTCCTGCATCGGGCTCCCTGCTCAACCGGGGAGCCTGCTTCCCCCTCTGCATCTGCCCCTCCCCCCTCCTTATGCTTCCTCTTGCTCTCTCTCAAATAAATAAAAATCTTTTTCAAAACTTAATTAATTAACTGAAAAGGAAATAAGGTCAGAGTGCTAGCCGGGGGCCAGGATTACGCAAGATCCTTAGGTCTGTGGTATTTTGTTTAGATAGATATTATTTAGTAAAATAAGAAATCTGGAAGCAGAACTGATATGATCTGACTTTTTTTTTTTTTAAGAACCACTCTATCAGATTTGGAAAAGAGGCTATACATGGGGCACGGGTGAAAGCAAAACCAGCTAGTACCGTAGTCCAGATAGGAGATGATGGTGACTTGACCTGGAGAAGAGCTCAGCTCATTAGAAGTCACTGATATGAGGAATTCTTAATGTCAGGAAACAGACTGAGGGCTGCTGGAGTAGTGGGGGGCGGGAGGGATGGGGTGGCTGGGTGATAGACATTGGGGAGGGTATGTGCTATGGTGAGCGCTGTGAACTGTGTAAGACTGATGAATCACAGACCTGTACCTCTGAAACAAATAATACATTATATGTTAAAAAAAAAAAAAAAAAGAAGG